ACCTTTTAGGACAGAATCACAAGTCTCAACAGGGTTTCAAAGAGATGATTCAAATAAGCTTAAAAACCAGCACTCAGACTGTCCAACAAAATGGTGTCATCTTAAGTCATCTCATTTTGATCGAATATAAATGAACAAATCATCCTATAAAGTTTGAAATACTCCTCATATCATGTTGAATTTTTAAGTTGGAACTACGAGGCTCAATAATTGTCATAACATGTTTGTGACCTATCATTTGGTCTGTTGCATTTCACAGAACACTTGATTAGTTCTCCTTATCATTTGTGTTCTTTCGCCATTTATATTATTCCACTATTTCTTTGAATTGTTCCAAGGAGTTTGATCAACCATTTCAATATTTGATTTTCAATAAAGGACTCCGTATTTCTCAGTTTATGGAAGAGAATGTCAACCTTTCTGATCCCACACAAAGAACGCTCTCCAACTTTGTTGTTCAAGAAGCTGCTAGAAGAGAGGCGCACATGCCTTTGAGTTCTAATACTAGTGATACTGCCTTCACATACGACATATGCTGTGACTCTCCTACAAAAAGCAGTGAAATATCTTGGGATTTTAAATCCCCTATTCGCGACAATTATAGCAAATCAAGGCAGAAAAGCCTTGAGCCTCAGCATGATGGTGTTGAAGTCAATGTACGCATTTTACCCTGCATTACTCACCCCGATTAGTAGATTGAATACTCCCTCTCTCAGAGTAATTGTTACTTTGAAAGAAATTATGCAGATTAATGAGCCATTAAATCTAGAAAACTCGGCAATATTACCCCTCAATCCCCTCATTAAGGAGTCATTAAACGGAGTGATAGAATTTTGAGATGGACTGAGAAACGCAAAAATGAAAAATGGCATTAAATAATGTCTTGTTTTTATAAGAACATTGTATGATAAAAGTTTTCATCCAAAAGACCAAAATAAAACTGAATGTGCGGGAGTAGATTTTTTTTTTTTAATTTCCATTCACTTGATAAAAGTTATATTTTTCAGGTGTATGAAGCAATTGATGCTAGCAACTCATCTTCAGGGTCATTGAAAAAGTTAACCTTTTCTAGAGAGTTGGAGGGCACCGACCACACATATGATGGAACGGAGCACTGCTCAGACCATCTTAAAGAGTTGATACTTGTTTGGTTGGACGGATATAAATGCTCACTATGCGGGGTTGAATTGCCTCCCAGTTTCGTCGAAGAAAGGCAAGAGCACTCCGACTTTCATCTTGCTCAAAGATTGCAAGATGAGCAATCTAATGACAATTATAAATTGTTGACACCTCAGCGAAGGTACCTATTAGTTTCCTATCTTTTGTTTTCACCTTGAAGCAGAGATCATACTCCCAAAAATCACAAAGTTTACTTTAATTTAGGTCATTACAGAATGGGGATACAAAGAATCATGGTGCGCAGAGAAAGAAGAAGAAAATATCTCCTACGTCAGTTAAATGTATTCCTATTGATTCTTTTTTTGAGAAGACAAATCAGAACTCCTAACGTAGATTGATTTGTGTTCATATGTATCTGTCTGTTTGTGTTTTACCCTTTCTTGTACAGTATAACAATTTTCGATCAGCTAAATGTTATTACTTCTTACTGTGTATGCAGTTACAACAGTATACATGCGAAGTACATTTAAAATAGGCTAAAGGGTCAAATAGGCCCCTGAACTGATTTAAAGTGTTCAATTAGCCCCTTATATAGGAGGTTCTGCTCGGTAGTCGCCAATTGGGGTGGTTCCTTGTGGAATTTTTTGATTAAATTTTTTGAGCATCTTCTTCATTAAATCTAGTTTACTCATACCAAATTTTAGCTAAAAATTCAATCGGGAAGGCAGTCAAATGATTTTTTGAAGATAACTGCGAAATTAAACAGCGCAGTACATTTCGGAAAATCATTTGACTGCCTTCCCGGTTGAAATTTTAACTGAAATTTAGTATGGGTAAACTAGACTTAATGAAGAAGATTCTCAAAAAAAATTATCAAAAAATTCCACCGGTAACCGCCCCAATTAGCAACAGTTGGGCAGAACCTCCTATATAAGGGGCTAATTGAACACTTTAAGATAGTTCAAGGGTCTATTTGACCCTTTAGCCTTTAAAATAATAGATTCTCATATATTTGTCATATTTGTGTACATTGGATTTACATATCCTAGGTTTTTTCTTCACAATGTATTGTTTTTATAGCCAAATTTGCTCACCCGGAATAGGACTTTTTGTAACCGAATAACTAGGGGTGGGCCCAGTTGGTTTTATCTAAGGTGAAGGGGGCATCCGAACCTTAGTTGGGTTGGGGTGGGGGTGGGGGGGGGTGGGGGGTCTGATCTGATCCCGCTGTCCCACTTCTGAATGTAGCTTTTTTTTTTTGAATGTAGCTTTTAGAATTTAGATAGGTGCTGGTTCTGGTCCAGAATCTAGAAGGGTGTCCGGTTTTGTATTTTCTCGCACAGATTCAATGGGGCTTCAGAATTGAGTCCATTTATATGAACAAATGAGTTGAGTTCTAATCTGGAATCTGGATGGTTTACGAAGGATTATGGGAATTTGAGATTGCTTGTTTAAACCAACTCACTCAAAACAGTTGAATAATAGGGACTAGGGAGCATCAAAGCTTAATATTTGAGAAAATGATCGATCTCCCTCACTGCCTGTGCCTTGCCGACCCCGAATCTTTTTGGAAATTGGAACTAAGATTTGGATGTTATTGTTGTTGTACTAAACATGTTAGTAATAATTGATTTGAGCTTAAATGAAACAAGTCTAATATATTCACATTTCAAATAAATATTGATGAATACTTAATGAGCATTAAACCAGAGGATTTGTTGAACATTTTGTTTATTACCAATGCTATCACTTTTGTAACATACTCCGTATTTGATAAGTCTGGTTTGTTCATATATTTACACTTAGTAGTAGAGGTGGGCAAACGGGTCTTGGGACCGCGGTCCGGTCCGGGTAATGGCGGTTCAGGTCCAAAACGGGCTGGTTCCATTTTTTGTTGCCATAAAACGGTCCGGGTAGGGTCGGGTAATTTTTTTAAGGAACCGGACCGGTTCCAAAATTAAAAAATAATGGGTACCCGGCCCGGCCCGTTATATATATTGTATATTAACTTATTAATAGTTTTGTGATAATCGGTTTTGAAATAGTTTTATTTCCTTTGCTAGAAGTAGGATTTTAAATTGAGTTGCAGTAACATCCTTTTGTTTTCAAATTATTGATTAAATGTTTCATAAATATCTTATTACTTTTTATTGTTATTGAATTATTCCTTTCTATGGAATTTAATTATTTGTTAAAGATGATTTTGTTATATTTTTTTTATTATATTGTTATTAAAATATATAAATTGTGTTTACCACCCACCATGTATGTGTCAACTTTGGCTAATACTGAAAATTTAATATAAAAAAAACAATCACTTTAATATGTGATGTTAGACAACATGTTTAAATACAAATGTTAGAAAATATGTATTTTGGCTATGTTGCATATTTTTGGAATTTCTTTAATTGTTTGAAACTTATATACAAGAAATTATGGAGTATTGGACTTTTCGCTTGTGTTATATATGCACCACTATGTTGTTATTTTGAAACTTGCTAATGTCCTATATTATTGATTATTGATTTTTGGAACTTCGTGAGTTTTTACTAATTTCAAGACACGAGAATAGAAACCGTAAAACCCGGACCTGACCGACCCATTTCAAACGGGCCGGGTAATTTCGGTTCCTATTTTGAAAATTGTAATACCCGGACCGGACCGAACCGTGCAATGGAACCGGCGGTTCCATTTTATTTTGCATTACCCGTCCGACCCGGCTCGTGCCCAGCCCTACTTAGTAGTATAGTTGTTAAACCAGGGGCAAATTAAAACATTTTTCTGCACTTTTATTGCATTTTGTAAATGGTAGAAATTAGTGTCGAAGTTTACATTTTTAAGTAATTTATGATTAATTGAAGTATTTAGATTGATTTTTGTATGTATTTTTTGCCCGTGGGAATTGGTCAAGAATAATTCTGACTTTCTATTATATTAAAACCAGATATTGAAAAGGAGAATATAATAATTCAGTCCGGCCAGAAGCATTTTTTAGAAGATTCAGAGACCCAAAGCAGTTATCTTAACCCACATCAGTATTTTACTTAAAAGCCCTGCAGTGTTGTATAGATATACGCACGACATCTCAACCACAAGTTCCACTTGCATTTTTCCTTTCCCAGCCATGGTAGCTGCACTTCTCAAAATTCTTTTCCTCTTCCATACTACATCTATTCTGATTTGTTAAAGTCCGGTCTGGTCTGGTCCGGGATTGAAAACAATCCAAAACATTAGGATGTTCCTTTTGAATTGCTTTAAATCCCAGACCCGACTACACTTAAATAAAATACACTCAAACCAAACCAGACTATACTTGGACATTTATAAAATAGACAAAGATCAAATCAATTCAGACCAAACCAAACCATACCACATTTAAATAGACTAGATCAGATCTTGCCAAACCAGTATATTTGAGTCTAAAAAAAAACATCCTTATTAAGTTTTTTTTGGATTCCATCTCAAACCACATAGAGTTTGTTTTCCTTCATTAGCAAACTGATTTTAGGTATTAATTAATCTTCATAGATTGTCTCTACAATTATTTACATAGCTCCTTAATCCTTCTGAGTATTAAGACCAAGTATATATCACTTCGTATTAATGGAATGAGTCCCTGTTATACCCACTATTGTAAACACTTACACTTTTGTATATTTGCCTGTGTACACAGGCATTTGGGAGAAAAATGCTTTCTTCTCTTTTCGTGTATATTGCTCCGAGACCTTCTTGTTAATTTGTTATTGGAATTGGGATTTTCTTAACATTCTAGGGTTCTGAAAATTATAAAGTTTAATCACTAACTTTCAATATGTACAATCTTTATTTTTGTCATAAATAAAAACTATTTTTTACATTAAACAAAAAAATAGGAGTAATAGGAAAAAAAACAGGCAGCATATGGCTGCAGGACAGCCAACACATAGGAAGGAAGGAGGAAAAGGATAGGCTGCTGCAATTAGTGAAACCAGAAATGGAAGCAAGTCTAATTGGAGTAGTTATGAACACCAAAAGCCATAAATCTCTGGGGTTACCATCCGGATGGAAAACCATCGGTCCAGATTCACTCTTCAAGAAATCTAACGGTTCATGGATATGTTTTCCCAGACCCAAACCCTCCCCACCAAGACCCATCATCAGTTCTGCCATCCCAACCATACCAGAGATCATGGAGACATCAAGAGCTCAGAATGTTGACCTCCAGCTCACCACGGTGGGACCCTTTTTCAGGGTAACAGCCAGAAACCTGAAAACCAAGAATGAGATTGGGGTGGCTCAAGGGGTAACGAGGGTATGGTTTGGGGGCAAAATTTTGCATCTAGACTCCATTAAGCTGAGGAAGGAGACAGTTGGGATGGAGAAGTCTTTATTTGGGATAGGAGTTTTTATTGGAGCAGTGGCAATCAGACATGGATATGACTGTGGATGTACCAAAGCTGAGTTGCTCGCCATTAATGACACTCCTCTTTACCACTCCAAGGTATTGTGCTTTCTGATGTCATGGTGACATGCTTATAACACAAGATTATTTTATGAGTATTACTCCAGTCCACTTCTTTACTTGTGTCTTAGAATTCATCTTGTTGTCTACTACGTAGTATTTTGTTTTGTGGTTTTAGGCGCTTTTACCCCGACTTTTTCCAAACCAGACCATATCAGACCATACAACACCAATTCAGACCAGACCAATCCAATTCAGACCAGATCAGGCTAAACCATTTTTCCAGTCCAAGTAAAACATCCTTAATAGTATCAATCTCCCAAAAAATGTCACATGTATCATTATGTATGAGTCTCATATCGATCAATGTTGACATGATTTTGAGCATATATTATAATAGGTTTAGAATGATTTACAAAAATCATTTTATTAATAACATACGGAGTATATGATAGTATTATATTTTTCATATGGAAAAACTTTAAATCAAGCAATTTTTATAAGTTATGTCATGTGACATCAAACATGGTCAAGCTGAGTCGTTTAGAAAAAGGAATTTATTTCTTATGTAAATGAAACATTTTCATTATGCCGACACATAGCATCAATATGTTGGATTAACTGTTGCTAAAAACTACATAAAATCATATTTTGAATTTTACATTAGGTTATACTATGTATTTTTATTGTGTAATACAAGTAGATGATAATGATAGTGATTCAACAACTCTAGCCATAATATCAAAAACAGCCATTTTCGTCTTTACCAAACGGGAAATTTTAAACGTGTAATCTCCAATCTCCATTGCTGATTGCCTGATTGGGTGTCAATGTGATTCTTCATAAATTTCGTTTTGGTTGTGTAGCTGGTCAGATTCTACAAAAGAATAGGGTTCAAAGTGGTGCAAGAAGTGAAGGGTGAGTCACTGGGAGATGTGGGGCACATGCTAGTTTGGGGAGGTATAGGGACCAGAATGGATGCTGAAATTAAAGATCTCCTCATCAAATGGTGTTCCAGATTCAAACCAGTACAAGGGCTCCAGCCTGACTCACCTGAAATATCTCCCCCAAACTGCCTCCCACCACTGAATGATAAGAGTTCTGTATAATCTTGATTCACTATGGTTTTATTTCTTTTTAGCCAAACAAAGTCAGAATAGTTTGTTTCGTTTCCTATGTACATTTTCTGCAGGAAATAGAAAAATATTGTTGGCACAATACACAGTAAAGGGTCTTGGCAGTCAAATAATGGTGTTATTATTTTTTAAAAACAAGGTAAGATGATAAAGGCAAAGCAAATCCCCTCCCCTCCAAATTCCAAGCAAAACAAGGTCATTAAGGCTATACCATGATTCCTTTTAAACCAAATAAAGAGCGCTTCATTCAATGGCTTCCATCAACAGATTCGACGTCAATTTTGAACAATTTTGAACATGAGAATAAAGGATGCATAACATATTTATACCACTTCCATTACATTAGATAAATGAATATATATAATTAGATAAATAGATAGATACAGCCTTATCAGCCTACAATATATTACAATACCAAGGGGACTGAAACATTAAATTAAGTGTAGAACAACAACAACTATGCTCCCAGTCCACTATTGCAAAAGATGAGAGGAACTTCAGAGCTCTTCCTACAAAAGGGGAATGAAAAAAACTATCCATTTACCAGAGCATTGAAGACTGCAGCAGAAACGTAGACATATCATACATCAAATCAGCATAATTCAAAACAGCCAAAAATCTTCAAATCCTCAAACATCAGGAAACAGCGGGGCTAACCTGTAACCGCTTTTCTTTTAGATGTGAAGATCTTCAATATCAGTTACAACATCTGAGCAGGTCCCCAACGACTGCCTTTTTGGCAAATTCACTACTAACTGACCACAAGCACCACTTATGTCTTGTCCCATTTGCTTGCGGATTGTCGTCCGAATTCCGTAGATATCCCTCAGTGTTTTTTGAAATCTGGTCACTTTCTGATCATTACTTGTTCTAAAGTCACTCAGGGAACCGATTGGATTAAATGGTATCAAGTTCACAACCTACCAAAGTGTTACATGCATTCAAATCAGCACACATTATGAATCTACACCAATGACCCATTGACCCTATTGTTAGCACTTGACTAGATAATTCAATGAAGTATGATTGGAGCATTGCCAAAGGTGTTACTACTATTACTTTTTTAATCTTCTAAGAAATATTCATAGAATTAACTGTTTGACCCACACTTAATGCATAAGGGTTTACTCTTTGGCCTTTGCATGCTCAACATCTATCCCTAAAAGGAATGGTTTAATTACTACATTTGAAACATACCACTTGAAATGCTTCTAGCAATTTACCGAGCTGGTGGGCAAGTTGTTCGTCATCATTCACTCCATCGAGCATAATGTATTCAATAAAGATCTTTTGCTGGCTAGAAATAAATATTAAGTTAGACAGAAGTTGAGAGAAAATTCTTAGTCAGAGAAGGTTATGATGGAGACAAAAATGGAGGATTGATAAATAAAAAACCTTTTCTTTTGATAGGCATGCAATGCATCCATCAGTCTGTCCAAAGGAAAGGCTCTAGCAGCAGGCATTATCTGACAACGGATGTCCTGAACTGGTGCATGAAGGGATACCGCCAGGTTTATATTTGGGAGATCCATATGGAGCTTGTTAATGGCATGAATGATTCCAACCTAGTATAACATCAAAGCAACTTTTATTGTATTGTTGCTGTCACATCTCAGCTAAGCCTTTGTTTGGTTTAGGGAAGAAGAGAGAAGTGTGAGAAAGAGCTTGAGAAGAGAGAGAAATGGTGAACATTGTGTGGTGGTTGGTACGAGAGAATAAGAAGGAAATGACAACATTGACAAGAATATCCTGAAATTGCTATATTGAAAAGTGCCATTTCTCTTCTTTCTTCTTCTTCATTTCTCTCTTCCATATTTCCCAACAAATAAAGGCTACACATAATATTTAAACAAAGTTCAAAGCCACTTTGCACAAATAAGTTTCAATCAAAATCTGGGAGTATATAATAGTTTAAGCAATTGGTCGCTCTTCGTACCGTAGAGACCGTAATTTTCCTTGGCGATAAATAAAATGGAGACGACGTCATTACATGGATAGCCTCTACAAGGGCAGAGTAATTGTTTAATGGTTCTCCCATGCCCTAATCCAGAAATTAAGTTGATATATAAATAATCATAAATATGTGCTATTCAAAGCCTCCCAAAGCATATAGCACGAAGATAAGCAATAATAATACCATGAAAACAACATTGCGTATGGATGACAAACGAGAAGCATGCACCAACTGCTCAACTATTTCTCCGGATGTAAGATTAGTTTTAAATCCCATGCTTCCAGTTGCACAAAATTTGCAGCCCATTTTGCATCCAACCTTGTAGCATAGATTGACTAAGGTCAGAATCCAGTTATATTGGGAGATATTAGTTATTGTGCGTCTAGATGGAGCCTGGAGGGTTTTGGCATGATTCAGATGGGAATACTTTGAAGAGCTTATCCATATATGGATAAAAATGAGATTTTGTCAAATCATATAAAAGAAGATTTGAATGTTAAATGGTCACATAGTGTGCTTGTATTTTGATTGTTCTTAAAATGTGAAATACATTGTCCTCCATCAGACCATCACCCTCTATCAGAACATCAAAGCAAATCCTTAGAAAATTTGTAAAAAGGGAACTTAACTAACAACAAATGAAAAGTAGATATAGAATGGCTAAACCTGAGATGATATGCACAGGGTTGATCTTAGTCCGCCATGACGAGGTTCTCCATTATACTTTCCTAAGCGTGAGTCATATCTCATGATAACAGCCTCAGTAAATTCTCCTTTCTAGCAAGGATAAGAACAAAAATAGTGTATGGAATGCTCATTTAGAGCAAGCACAAGTGAAGTTCCCAACAATAACGTAGGAATTTATTATTTAATGGCACCTCATCGAATGTGAAAGAGAAATGAAAAGAATCACCTGAAGTTTGATGAGGAGCTTGGTGGTAACACCATCGCTTGATTCATCGGCAGTGTGAAGGGTGGAAGTTAATGGTACAAACTTGGAACGAAGCAGAACGTATGCTCCTGAAGGCAATGATGGAATTTCATCCCACTGACAATTAGGGTTCTGAATCACGTGCCTGAAGTAGGATCATCACATATATTTTTAATAAGAGTACAAAGAAGAAGATGATAGGTATGAGTAATGAGATAGATGCGTACTTCCATATGATTGGGATGAAGCGAGTACTGATACCAGCTTGTTCAAATTCAGCTCTAATTTGGGAAAAATCGAATACCGACTTAAATGCCATTTTCAGACGTTGCAGAACTCTGAACTCAGAAGCTTGCGTCTGCTTCCTCGCTGGCGCTCTGATCTCTCTGCTTTGCTCGTGAGAGACGATGGAAGGTTTACGAGCCCATTTTATTTGTGGGTTGAGTTTTGCGTCACCACTTCAGCCCAAACATTTCAAGCCCAATTAATTTAGCATGAATCAACCCAATATCTTCCACTACTCCACCAGTCACCCGGACTCCCCACATTTTATCAACATTTGTGTGAGCCCATAACCCATTATATTGGGAGTGGGCTTCGTGGAGGACATGAGAAGGTCCAAATCATGTTTTTTAAAGATTTATCCTAATACAATTTGTGTAATTCCTGTTAAATGACTTGGGGGTGAGGACAAGAGGTAGAGAAGAGAGAGAGGGGAAGACGCAAACATACTTGGATTAGAGGAATCAGAACAGATATGCGTTTGATGAGAGTATGACTTTGGACGAAGTAAATTGGAGGGCGAACATCCATGTAAACGATTGATGTCTTTTCTACTTTTCCTCTCTCTTTTCTTTTATAGTTTATCTTCATTATCTTTTTATTTTCTTATGTTATTTTTATCTTCTGACTTTTTTATTCTCTTTTATCTTTTTATCTTTTATGATTCTAACATTCTTATGTTATTGTTATCTTTTATTTATTGTTATCTTATATTTATTTATCTTTATTTTATTCATTTTATCTTACTTTTTTCCCTTTCTTATCTGTCTTCTCTGTTTGGCATCGATATCATAGATCGATTCATGTTAGCCGACCCCAATTTCTTTTGGGATTAAGGCTTGAATGTTGTTATTGTTGTAGTAATTACTTTCATCCTAAAAGGACGTCTTATTAAAGCATTAGCACTCTCGTATTGATGTTTGATAATGGGTTACAATTTCAATATGAGTGGTTATGGGCTATCCGGTGCACATTACATAGGGTTAAACATAGGGTTTAGATCACATGGACTATTGCGTCGAATTTATATTTTACAAGAAGTGCATTTAACCCTTATAATTTATCAATTTTTTACTATTAGTTCTAAAGATTGATAATTTGGTAATAACAAACCAAATCATTGTTCTCATTTACCATTTATCTCTCACTTGGTACATTCAGGGGTGGAGACAGGGGGTGGCTGGCGGTGGCCGTGGCCCCTGCAAGAAAAAATTTGTGATGTATATACATATGTATAAATATTTATAATTGGTAAAAAATATAGTGAAAATTTAAGTATTGGCCCCGACTATATAAATTCCTTAAGCTCCGACCCCTGTAACTTGACATTCCTGACTCCGCCACTGGGTACATTGTGCTCTTGTCATACACATAATCCGTCCCGTTTTTACGGTTTAATAGAATTTTTAATCTATGTTCTAAATATCTCATTTTAATTGTGAACATTAATTTAAAGTTATTAGGAGAGTGTCAATATCTTTTATCAGACAAATGTGCTACCACAAATAATAAAACCAATACACTTTATTGGGTAAGCCAGTTGTAACCCCAATGTGACCCGGAAGGATCTAACCCATTCACAGGTCCAGTCTTTCCTAAATCAGAATTAAGTTAAACGATTTTGTTTGGATCTTGATTATCACAAAGCTGATTTTGGTTCAACGATTTGATTTGTTTTTTTTTTCACTTTTGGATGGTTAAGGACCTAAGGAGATCAAAATTGAACTTGTAAACAATTGGGATGAGAAATAATTAATTCAAGCCCATCACCTAAATTGAATAGAAGTTTTGGACAAAAATGAATTGAACCTAATTGCGCCCATGTAGATTTGAAGCAATACTGTAATTATTAAGGATATTTTTAATTGGACCGAAATTTTCTGATCTAATCAGGATTGGTCTGATCTAATCTGATAGATGCCTGACCTCTGTATATTTTACAAGTCTAGTTTAGTATAGTTTGTCTGATTTGTGACTAAAAATGATACAAATAAAAATACTCTAACTAGCATTCAATTCGAACGAAAAAATGAATTGCTCTAGTGTCAAACTGTCAATTGAACAAAACCCAAGACTCCGTTCAGTTCTACGCATTGGGCCCCATAACACGGGTGTGCTAGCTAGAATGTTTTAAAATAGGATTCATATGGGGATAATAGTTAGGATATTTTGACTTCAACTGAAATTTTTGATCTAATCTTTTTAAGTCTATCTAAAATTGTTGTCTGTATATTTTATAACAAAAGTCTAGTCTAAATTCTAATCAATTAATATCTAGTTTGAGGACTCAAATAAGTCCAAGTAAAAAATATTCAAAGTGCATTTCTAGATTATCACTCTTTGTTACGGAGTACTCCCTCCGTCCTAGACCTGGACTCGGGCCGGTTCGGGCCTGGGCCCGGCCGGGCCTCGGGCCAGGATAGTTGGGCCCGGGCCCGAACCGCCGGTGGGCGGTTCCGGTTCCGGTTCCGGGCCGGGCCGGGCTGGGCCGGGCCTAACCGAATTTTTTTTTTTTTTTTTTGGCTCTTCTATTTAACCCCCAACCCCTCCCCCTCAACCCCAAACTACCCCAAACCACCTCAAATGGCCCAAAATACCTAATCCAACCCAAAAGTTAAAAAAAATTCAAAAAAAAAAAAAATTTAAAAATCGGACCGAACCGGGCCCAAACCGACCGGGCCGGTTCGCCAAAACCTCGGCCCGAGCCCGAACCGCCCAGCAGCCGGGCCGGGCCGAACCGAACCGGTGGGCCCACCGGGCTCCGGGCCGGGCCGGGCCTCACAGTAACCGGGCCGGGCCGGTTCCGGGCCGGGCCGCCCGGCCCGAGTCCAGGTCTACTCCGTCCCATTTTGGTTGTCCTACTTTCCTTTTTGGGTTATCCCAAAATGAATGTCTTGTTTCCTTTTTTGTCATGAAATATGTGGTTCTTATCAATTCACTTTATTCTACTCAAATCTCAACCACAACTTTTACTTTTCAACCACTTTATTAATAATCGTGCCAAATTGAAAGTAGACAATCATTATGGGACGGAGGTAGTATGTTTTAAAAGCTCCAATTCTCCGAAGTCCAAAAAGTATTCCGAAGATATATATGGAACAGAGGGAGTTCATAACAAACCAATAAAGAGAAGCGGACAAATTGGCTACGGGCCTACTTCAGTGAGAGTTCAAGAATAACTAAAACCTGTCCCAAAAATGATATTTTTCCCTCGAATTTTAAAAACTAAGTTCTTTGTTCTTTAATATAATATAATAATAATAATACTTGGTTTCATTTTAAAATAAATTCACACCCACCAGAACGCTCCTATATACGAAGTATAAGACAAGCCGCAAGCTGGGTTGACTAATATGAGAACATCAAACCAAAAAAGAAACTCCGTATAATGCCTAATCTAAGGTATTATTTATTATACTGTTGCAAAATTACAAGTTACAATGACGTGGACATGGAGCTATCCATATGCCGGTGGAATATGGACGTATCTAAGCATATATTACTCCGTATAATAACAATAATAATAGGGGGCTAGAGTAGAGTACGTATTAATTTGTGAGCAAAATCACGTTCAAGTGCTGGTTCCTTCCCCCATATGCTTCTTCAGTTCTTCTACCACGTAGAGAAGAAGCATAGGCCATAACCACATGTGGTTTGTCTCTGTTCGTAGATTGTTACTTGTGCCCAATACCTATCATTGAAAGCTGCACGCCAAACATGCATGCACTCAATACAAACGTTGTTTATAACAAGATATCCATCCTATCACAAGTACAAGGGTAGAGCATTTGCAACTTTCATGTTAGGTCTCGTCTTTTTAGGTCGGATACTCTGATAGAGCAGGTCCAAGTCGTTTCCATTATTTGCAATTGAGTTAAAGATTTATTATTTTTTTGATTTCGAGCATGATGAAATAAAGCAAAATGATCACTAATTTATCTGTGCTTCTTTGTTTATGAAGCAATAATCAGTCCATGTACTTTTCAACGCGATTTTCAGTATGAGTCATCGGGAAACAATCTCTTTCTGTTTTAGTACATGGGTAAGGCTGCGTAAATCTGACACTCCTTTACCCCACCGTATGTGGGAGCCTTTGCAACACTATAGGTGATGATGATGAGGGATTAATGAATCTAAATGAGCACATTCTTAGGACTTGAATGCTTAGACTTTTTTTAATCCAGATAAAACCACATTTAAATAGGTCAAACTAGATTCAACAAATCACATACCAGTTTGAACTATAAAATTCTAGTCCAAATGCTCTAAATTATACTACGTACTCCCTCCGTCCCATAAAATTCTTCTCGGTTTGACTTGGATCGGAGTTTAAGAAAATGGAAGTACAAATGCATGGTTGTAGTTGAGTAAGAAAAAAGTAAATGAATGTTAGCCACAAAACATTCCAAAAAGGGAAATGAGAAGAATTTTTGGGACATCCCAAAAAGGTACTCCCTCCATAACTTAAAAATCTTCCCACTTTCCTTTTTCGTCCGTAACACAAAAATCTTCCCATTTCTAAATCTTCTCATCATACCCTCAATAATTCTTAAAATAATACACTATTACAACTACTTTTTTTGGATTTATCCTACATTCCACCACATTATTCCACTATTTTCCCATCATACCCTCAATAATTCATATCATCTTTCACTATTCTTAATCTACCTACTTTTGAAATGGGAAGATTCTAAAGTTACGGAGGGAGTAAGTGAGAAGAAGTTTATGGAGCGGAAAGAGTATGATATTAAAATACAAATGACATAAAAAAGAGTATACCATACTAGACTTGGGATGTTTTTAATTGGTCTGAAATTTTCTTATCTGGTCTGTTTAAATATGGTCTAGTCTAGTCTGGTAAATGTCTGGTCTCTGTATTTTATAACTATCTGGTCTGGTCTGGTCTGGTCTGATCTAGTCTGGTCTAGTCTAGTTTGTCTAACTCTGATCTGGTTTGTTTTGTCTAGGACTGAAATAAATCCAAGTAAAAACAACCTTAACAAACCACCCCAGACCAAACTAGTTCACAAATAAAAAAATCAATTCAAGTGAAAATGACTATCTCAAAATATATACGATAGTATAAAGATGCATTTACATTGGTAAAAAATTACTCCTTTGGGGAGACGGAAGTACTAGATGTATGTACAGGTGGAGTAAATGTGTTTACTTACAATGTTATTTTCAGGGTGCCGCCAATAGAATCCCTGCAAAACAATGGGAATTATGTTGCAAGAGACGAGAAGATAAATAGGTAATGCATTCATTCCCATCCACTCCAGCAGAGTCGTCAAATGTCTACACCCATACACATCAACCTGTAAAAGGAAACGAAGCTTAAACCATCACAAGGGTTGCAGTAATCACGGTGAGAAATGATAGACAAGTATAACTAGTTTTACACTCCCATTATTATGGAGGAGTTGGATCCTCTCCTCATCTCAGACACGTATGAGATCAAGAGTGATACTTTCCGGTGATTATGAGGAGGAACATTTTAATCAATTATCTTAACCATGCTCCGGTCGGGAGAAGATCCAAATCCATATAAAAGCTAATTCAATAGAAGTCACCAATAAATTAAACAAGATGTGCAAAGTATTAGCAAAATATATCTTGTGAATGGGAACTTTGAGTTTCCTAAGTACCCCTGTCTCTAAATTATCTTCTCAATTATTGTAGTTTATGATGTCTATCTCTTTTACTAGTATCTTTTTATAAATCTGAATGACACAATTTTTACTTTCTTAAATCTCATACTAAGTGACCGAAGTCAGTAATCTTACAACGGAAGGAGTAACAAATTGCACCCATGAAGCTTGTGCGTGGTAACAAAAGTAATCAAATTCAAAGTCTAAAGATGGTGAGGTCTAACCATTATATACACTCCAGCAAAGAGAACTCCAGCAGTACCAGCAGTGACACACGTGTAACTGAAGCTGTACAAGACCTTGTTTATATGCATCCCTATAAAAGGAGAAGGCTAGGTGGTGAATGTCTGAAGAACATGGCTCTTTAACTATGGATAATAGTGTGGAGAAATTTACAGTTTAACACTAGTAGGAAAACTGAATAAGGAAATACTAATGATAATTATAATTATTATCTTACCGAGGAAGTCACATGCCACCCCTAACATTAGGAGGAAACATGATGGTATTATCCAATGCAGAATTCGAGCTTTATGATCCTGTGGTAATGCATTTACATAAGGCAACCCAGGAAAGGCAGTCACTAAAGAATAATTCAACACTAGAAACTCATACCACTTCTTACCTTGAAATGGATTATTATGTGTCCAAAGTGGAGACCAACAAAGCAAGTTGCAATGGCCATCAATGAGCTATAGAAATTTTGATTTGAAATATATATTAACAAACTAGGAGGGCCATAGACATAATTAAAATTATTTTGAAAACAATAGTGTTATCAAAATACTAGTAATAACAATAACATAATAGAAAAGGAATGTGGCGCATAAATTTTGCAGTCCTGTAATCATCGAGGATACACAACAACGAACCTTAAAAGTCCTTCGGGGTCAAAGGGAGCTTGACACCATGAAGGAGCACCTATAGGAAGTGGACCATAATCTGGAGAATTAATGCTACATTCCTGCCAAAAGAACGATATACAATTTTAGAATAACAGGGGGGAGGGCAAACTATTGGAAAGCATCAAGAAGAGTTTCACAAGAATACTTCTGTTCGTGCATATATTGGCCGTCTATACAAGTGTTGTAGTCCCAAAATTGCACGGTCAACCATTCCAACTGCATTGCATGCTGGTCCAGTATCTCCCCGCACACCACATTTCACCTTAAAAGGTACGAAAACAATGTCAAGGCTTTAGAAAGTTAATACATTAGTGATGTCATACACCTGACACCACAAGTGTAAACAAAATAAAAGTTCAGGAGCAAATTCCAATAAAGAACTTACTGAGAGTATCTTTGAATCAGAAGAAGCCATTTCCACTGGAATGTGATACTCCCAATCTGGAACATAAAGACCGTAGAACAAAGAGAGGTACACGGAAATAAGCACAAAAGCCATGGACCTGCAAAGAATCCCCTCAGGTGGAAAAGGGCAGATAAGGGCATGCACTTTTTTTATAACAATGAATTTCAGAGAAATTAAATCTATAGACATTGTCACCTTAGCAAATCAACCCTTAGACAGAGCACACAAAAAGTTGACCAGATTTCCCGACAAATTAATCCTCACATTTTTAGAGAATCAAATTGCAGATAACCCACTTATTAGAGCACAAGATACTGTACAGTTAAGGGTAATATGCTCTAGAGTACCTCATAATCTTATATCTTCTTCTCTCCCATTAAATGAGCATATACTTAATACAACGAAGTCGCAAAACTCTAATAATCTGTCACTGGAAACTATGCAGTATATTATGTCCTTTTTTGGAAGAAACAATATTATATGCCTACTTTGTATCCTTACACATACATTAAGAGGACATACAGAGTTCTCATGAAAATTACTTTCTACTCTAGATGACTGCGACGATTGCAACTATGAAGAGATTGTGGAGAAGAGACTACAGATGGCAATCAATCAACCACACAGCCCCCATATTAATTACTGCATATGCCAAATGGTTCTATAATGCTATTCCAGTCGAAGAGGTAAAGATGGGTGTATGAGGCATATTCAATGAAGAGCTTGTACTGATCCCTATGATAGTAAAAACAGCTTATGAAGCTGACTTTGTCTCATATGACATCCTGTTGCTACTCTTTGGTTTAATTAATGGTCGAAACTCATGGTGCAAGTAAATTTGTCAAGTGTAGAGATCAACCCTGCCTAGATGGTTCTAAAATCAGCCTCTGATCTCAATTACCCAATCTTTGAGCATAGTGAAGATCTAGTTATGAAAAAAAAGAATGAGCAAGAACTCACCATTGGTATTGATATCTCTTTAACAAAGATAATCCTGAATCAACCTTGCAGTCATACTTAAGCCAAATTTCAGAAATAGCTGCCACAAAATAAGCTATAGCAATTCTCTGCAAGAAAAATATATTGACCTCATCAGCCACATAGAAACAGTGCCAAAAATGAATGATATAGAATGTTCTTTTTTAAGTAATGCAATGAAATTTCTAAGACCTAGCATATGCTAACAGATAAAATACAAAAAGAATCAAACTTAGACCTGCAAGACACCTGTCCATCTGATTTGCGTCATGTCCACTCCATAAGTTAGGTTGTAGAGTCCATGAAAGTAGCCTCCTGTCAGAAATGGAAGGAAGAAGAGTACAAGTGCCAACATGTTGATAATCAGTATGTGGAAACTACTATCAAGTAAATGATAAAAAAAATGGAAGTTCAACAAAGCAATAAACAACCTAGATACACTTTTTTCAATAAAAACAGTCACGAATTCATTATATCAATTTTTAAAAGAAGAATACCTTGGAGAAAGACTCCAATGATAAAGAGCTTAAGTGCCCGATGTATTGCCTTCCCAGTTGCAGTCATTCTGTTCGATAGGTTCTGTGACTTGATAAAAATTGAAGTAAGCCAAAGAGGCTTGGAACAATATTTATTTATTTGGTAGTTTTCTGTAGACAAGGATTTACCATATGTTTGACTAGGACAGAGAGCACAGCATAATTCAAATCCAAGACATATACTTTCATTGGAAAGTAGTGACCACATTGATAGTATTGATAAATGAAATTTAGAAACAGAAGTTTGCACTTGTACCCACACAGCCTCTTAAAGTAAAAAAAAAAATTGAGAAACTCTAAGTTAAGAGGAGTGAACAAAGAGAAAAGTACCTTATATGCAAGTGCAAGCGATAGTCCTACAATAAAAAGGAAAAACGGCATAACAAGGTCTGCCAGGGTCAAACCATCCCATGGTGAATGATTGATAGAGGGCATGATCCCACCGGCATATTCAACAAGTATCATTAGCTGCACAACGAAACAGATCAAATCACATGTAAGACAGGTTAGGATGATGCCACATCCAGTTATTAGGGCCAGAGTAAAAGGACTCCATTGCTAGCAACGCTGCTTCGTGGTGGAGAAAAGAATAAGACGATGTAATTTAGAGGTGTGATTTGAACTGAATGTTCAGGCATCTCGACATAATCATCAATCAATTCAAAAATAGTTTGGTAGCTGACTTTATGTAAAACACAAGAAATAGAGCTTCAAGAAATAGAGCTTCCTAATAAGGAAAATTGCGTCTAAGAAAAGAAAGAACAAGGACAGCAGAACAAAGGGGGGCTAATTGACAAAAAAAAACGAATCTGGGTTATTCATGATCACCCAACCAAACGCAACGGCCGAAAATGTTGATTGAGGCGTAAAGGAACGTGATTTCAGAAAGAAAAAGAACATGTCATGATGGAGCACAGCATTGTGGGCGAAAAGAGAGGAAAGACTTACGGCTACTGTAATCCCTCGAAAAACGTCTAGGGAGACAAGACGGACGCGCTTTCCAGTAGAGTTGGGGACGGCGGACTTCAGGGGACAGTCAGGATCAGTGCCGCCGTGAGTGGTGGATTCAATCCGCAGGGAGAAGTCCGGAAGGTCGCAAGGCTGGGGAACGCCATCGCCGGCGCTGCAATTATCATCACAAAGGTGTTGCTTGATGAGCTGATAGGGATAAGAAGCCATTTGCGTGGACCTTCTTGGTGGAAGAAGGATGAAGTGGGCAGGACGGAGGAGGAGATTCTGGTGCACGGATCTGGCCGGAATATCCGCAATGAGTATGGGCGGCAATAACGTATTGTTGATTCATCCACCACCACCTCAGCCGTCTTTCTTCCTCCTCCTCCTCCTCTTCAATGCTGAAAAGCAAAGGCGAATGGGGATTGGATGGAGAGATTGTACAGACTCCGCCAATTTATTTTCTTTTTAGTAATGTCAGGTAGTAGGCGGACAATATATACTCCCTATTTAAGATACTCACCCATAGCTGTTATTTATGCACAAATATAATAATGAAACAAAATACATACTATATTCCCTCTTATCAAATATTCTTCATTCTTGTGTTTCTTTTTCCTATAAGGTTATACTCGTAAATATTACTTTCTCTTTTACTAGTACTATTTTTAACTCATACCGAGTATCAATTACGTTAAACTTTTTTTAAAGATGTTCTTAATTGGACTGTAATTTTATAGTGTACTCTGATTAGTTTTGTTTAAATCTGATCTGGTCTAATAGATGTTTGTTCTATATTTATTTTACAATTGTAAAAATCAAACATTGTCTGATCTTGTTTGTTTTTGTTGTATTAAATTTTACAATAGCAAAGTTATAAGGGACGAAGGGAGTATGAACGTGAACTAAAACCAATCAAATGAAAAAACATCTTTAATCGTCAACACTTAACTATTTTTCCTGTTCCAATATAATATGTACAAGTCAGTATAACATCGTGTATAAAAAGATAACTAGGCTAATTAAATGCGCTCAGTTTCAAGTGCAACTCTCGAATTATTGATCAGCACTTTTAGTAGATTTTTAATAAGAAGTCACTCCTCATTGTTCAATATTTTCATATCATTTTCAAGAAGTTAACTCACACACTACTCTTAGATACGAGACTAGTTAGATTATCTCCATTCATCCTCTTTAAATAATTTTTTTTTCGCTAGACATTATTGTCATATCACATTCACTCAATGAATTTTAAAAAATCTCAAAGCTTACAACTCTCATCAACAATAACATGGAGTACTCAAATAATTATTCTAGGACATACATTAAATGTATTTTAATTACAATCTAAAATAATCCAATTTTCTTTTCCAATAATCTTTTCCAAGCTGATTCTTAAAATAATTTGATCCAACATCCAATTAATATTTGAATAAACTAATTAATGAATGAAGATGTCGGCCATTTAATTAAGTCATTCCTACAGGTAAGAAAATGTCATTTGGGAAGAAGATGATAATCTAATCATGCGTTTGGCTATAAAAGATACTCGTATTTATTTACATAAAATGAGGTAGTATATGAATGCTACAAACGTGAGAAAATCATCCTACATTCCTACACTACAAAGTTGTTTCTATCTAAGTAACTTTGGCAACTTTTTATTCCGATAATAGTGCACAAGAAAAAGAACTTCCTTTTATATGAATCAGCTGCATCATCGCTTTCCTTGTTGTCAAACACAACATCACTTTTACAATATGATGTGACTTAATTTCAACGGCGTTTTTATTTTGTTTAAAATGATGTGTTCCGTATATTTTGAAATCGGTAAGTGGTAACTATCATGCAGAGGTAAATTACTCAAAATGTTCGAAACAAATAAATGTGATAATTATATACTCCCTCTAATTCATAAAAAAGTTTTATTTTTTACTTCACACATATTCAGAAATGAAATTTGATTTTACCGTGTAGTGCACTGTTTGGACATTGTTTAACATTGTTTGACACTGTTTGGATACTGCTTGACATTGTTTGACACTGTTTAGAACTGTTTTGATGTAGATAATTTGCCAAGTAAGAAAATGTTTGAAAGTGGAATTTAATTTTGGAACTGCCCGAAAAGGAAAGATAGAACTTCTTTATGAATCGGAGGGAGTAAATGTTAATCTATGTATATAAATATGAAGGGCGTTAAACTCGCCAATCGAACGTTGAATTGTCTAATAACCAAATTGAATACGATTGAATTTATAATCAAAACAATTAAAATGATTATATTCTCTACAATAACTTCAATTAATATAGTCACAAAAGTAATCTAAAGTCCAGTCTTACTTTTTTCTTATTATTAGACAATTCAGCGCACGAAATTAAAAGTTACGAGCCCGTTTGGTGACCCTTTTTCAGCTTATGAGGCTTATCAACCAACTTTTTCACCAAACACGTAATTTTTTATTTCGCGCGTTGAGTTGTGTAATAATAAGAAAAAGTAAGGTTGAAGTTATTTTTCTGACTATATTGGCTGAAGTTGCTGTATAAGATTATTTTAGCTATTTTTTCATATAATTTTTTCTTTATTTCATTAATAAAAAATATTTTTAATATGATTTTTCATAAATCAGCAGAATTAGTCAATCCAACCACTTCAGACATAACTTCAAAATTTCAGCAGAATCAGCTGATTCAACCAATTTCAGTATTACTAAACGGTCTCTACTTTTTTGTGAAAAAATTGACTGATAACCTCAATAAACTCAAAATATGATCACAAAACGGACTCCATATTTTTAATTATTGTCTAAATAATCATGTCATATCACAATAAGAACTTTTGAACGGAGAGAGGTAGTGCTTCGTAAGTTCGTATGTGTTCTAATTCTTTAACAAATAAAAATAAAGTCATTGTTTGCACTGTATAATGTTTAAATTGGTCTCATCTTTTGTTTGTTTTGAAGAAGAAACAAACTTTATAAAATTAAATCGTGAGCCAACTGACTTACAACCCACTGTAGTGAAAATCATAAAAACAACTACTAATGCATAGAAAGTTGACTTAATCGTTGGATAGTAATAGATATGGGAGATTTATATGCCTACGGTCCTATGATAAAGGGGTTAGTAACATTATTGTTGTGCCTGAAGGAAGGAATGGACAAGGATTTGGTTTGTTCTGCATGACTTTACTCCGTCGTCTAGATTTATTGAAGGAGGCTAAAAATGGGGCTTTGCAAATATGTTCAGAAGACCTTGGGAATATCTGCTCATATTCTTCTAAGAAATATGACTTTGAGAACATCGAGTCTATTCCTTCTTTGTTTTTTCATGTTGATCTAGTTGATTATGGTTGTTCTACTACTTTTGATCCATGGAGTCCTCTTAGGGAAACTAGCTCCATTTTTTAGGCCAGCATGGTTGTGACAGATGAAGGTTTGAACCCAGGGGAAAAATCGCAGAAGTTACGCCTCTCACCGTGAGTGTTGAGGGCACTATGGATTCTTCAAAAAAGGAGGCCTCTCACAGCAACGAGCAAAGGAAACAAAATAATAGCGCACAAAAGGCTGTTATTCAAGATTCGACAATCACTTTGAGCTTATTTGAATTCTTCTTCATCGAGGGAACTAACTAATTGCTCCAAGAAGAACGCGAAAGAGAATGATAATGTTCTTTCCAAGCGAAAGGTTGTGGGTAAGAACTCTAAGTCGACTATTATTTCATATCTTTCTCTCCAAGAACTTATCACTCAATTCAAGGCAGATCAGACGAGTTTAGACAAAAGGATGAAACCTCAAACTTCGGTTCAGAGTGTTGCTTTTTCTTCATCTACGTCATCGGTGACTTCTCCAGGTTTAGTCGAACAAAATGATTTAATGGAGGCCACTGAAGATTGTTCTTTCACTCCAGTTATTTCTCGACGTAACAAGAAACAACTTGATATTCAGGCTTCTTCTATGCAAACTAGGTCACAATTGCGCTTGAAAGCTTAATCTTTAGCTTAGTTTGTTGTCTTTAACTTAGTTTGTCATTAACGCATGTATTGCTATAGACTTTTTAATAAAATTTGGTTTCTTTTGTCAAAACAAAAAAAAAGTAGCGATTCTAGCAATAGGGTGAGTGACTTGGTTTGCTACTCTCCACACCACTTTATCTGAATATCTGACTCTTCTCTCATGAGGTATTTGATATCTTCATAAATAATTCCGATTTGTGAAGCGTATGACTCTCCTTTGATTCCGGCTAACACCAAATCCGCATCTGTCTCAATTGTTGCATTCCTCCACCCATTTTCCTTCGTCCAATGAATAGCTTCTCGGGCTCCCCACGCCTCTGCTTCCTCCGGACTTCATTTCACTGTAATCCTCCGATTACAAGCCTTCATGAACTCTGCACTATTCTCCCGACAGACCCATCCCCAAGGCCAAACATTATATTATCTCTAGGAATGCTCGCAGCATCCACATTGATCTTGACTTGATTTAGTCTCGGTTTTTGGCTTTTGCCATCCTTGCTTATTAATTCTTCCTCTCGGACACGACAAGATTCCACCTTCTTGTTGAGCTATTCTCCAACTCGTTAAAATGTCTCGGTTGCGGCAACTTGCTGAAACATATAAAGGGCAAATGCCCTAAGAATACTCCCCCTGCTGAAACAATCGGTACAAAGCCCAACAACATCTGCCTCAATTACATCCCAATATTCGTGATAAAACTTCGAGTTCATCCCATCAAGCCCGGGTGACTTATCTGGATGCATATCGGAAATCGCCTTCCTGACTTCCACTACATAAATAGGGATCAACAAGTAACTATTTTGCTCCGCTGAAACACAATTCTTTGCTGACAAAACTACCTCCAAATTGAGAGAAGAAACAAATGAGAACAAATTATCAAAATAATCATGCACTAGTTGCTGCATTTAACCTCAGTCAACCGCCCAATATCAGTGTTTGTCTCTTAACCCGACCATATGATTCCTCCTTTGTTTAACGGAATTGTGAAAAAAATTGAATTCATATCCCTTCCTTTATCCAGAACTTCTTAGCTCTATGTTTGCAATATAAGTTCTTTTTTTCGAGCAAATCAACAAGAACTGTGTTTACTCTCTGAAATTCAGCATTATTTCGTCTTCTGCTTTGGCAACGTAGTTGCTTTAGTCTCGTATGACAAATATTTATATGAGTAGCAAATCCCAAGTTCTGATTCCTTCTCAAATAATGTCCCAAGGCTTTGCTGTACTGATCAATTTTTTCCCATACATCCTGATTCTCCCTTGACTTCCAACTGCGTTATATGATTTACCGGCATTCTTCCTCTCGCGTCCATATGATTTACCCGCATTCTAGTATGTTGTTGCATCTCTTGAGTACACACTAGTAACACCAAATGATCACTACTTATTGCCTCCAGTAAACTTGCCTTAGACTTCCCAAAACAAAGTTGCAAATCCTCGTTTAGATAGAGTCTGTCTAGTTTCTCCTCCACCATGGCAGACCCCTTTCCTCTCTCCCAAATCCATTG